ATGTAACTTTGTTGATCTTTTTTAATTTTTGTACAAATTTTGAAACTTGGATCTGTATGATTTTTGTAAAAGAATGAACTATATTTTTATAAAACGCAATTGAAGTTAAATAATAAATAAATAGTAAAAACTTGTATATATGTGGGTGTCGTATAGTTTTGACAAACACCGTAAATATATACAGGCATATAAGCATAACCATGTACTGCAATTTACTATTTGTTCTTTAATTACTTTCAATGCAATGCTCAAATCGGTATNATTTTTTTAATTCTTTTTTGTTATTAGAAAATAAAAACTTTACTCACTTTGGATGTGAAAAGGGCACCTCCAATACCAAATCGGGTGGGTATTCGAATAATTCAGGATCTTCACCGTTGGCCGAGACTATCAGTGGAAGAATGTCCCATTCTGTGCCTTTGCTCTTCCAACCCAATTTCAGGCAAACCTACAATTAAAGTAAGTAACAATGTAATAATAGAAAAATTTTGTTACAAAAAGAATAAATTAAGTTTTTAAAAATATTGCGGAAGAAGTGGTATAAATATTTTTATTCCACTGAAATGCGTTCACTTGAGGTTTTGACATTGTTCAAATATTCGTATTATAATTTTATTATTCTAAAGTATTATGCATTTCAGCTTTCGTTAAATTGTTTATCACCTTAAAAATATATGTTGCACAAACAATAAATAAGTTGCGCTCTTTGATTATTAACGATCAGTTATGTATATCTATGTATATGCATTTGTATGTACCCCAAAAAAAAAAATCTGAAACTCTCACCTCTGTAAATTCAACATTTATTGGATCGCCAACAATTGTGCCATCACTCTGCTTATAACCAGCGTATGAAATCAATTGGCTGTTCCAGATGCGATAATCATGAAGACCATCGGTGCGTTGAGGGAAAATTGTAATAGCCGAACTGGAAGAAAATGAATGCAATAAAATAAAATAAAAATAAAAATCTGCAAATATTTTTATTTACTTTCTTTGTAATAAAAAAAAAAACTTCATCAACCTCCTGAAGGACGCTCAGGAAATTTTTAACGTTGTATGAAGAAATAGTTTCTAAACTTTTGTAGCCTTATGCGAACGTCAATGAGGAGGACGGGGGCGGTAAACAAAGGCGCACTGCTGAGAGATGTTCTATCCTTATTGATATTGGCACTTCTTATCAACAAAATAAGGCTCCTAGATTTACAGCTTATGATGATTTAGCCTACTATACCATCTGTGGTTGTTGTCTAAGCTTTACGAGTGAAACACTTTGAAAGCTACACACAGCTAATGAAGAGAGGCGGAACTTGGAGTAAATCCTAAGGGTTGGACTTGGCGCTTTTTACAAGAAAGTATATCTGAGAGCCCACTTCAAGAAGTCCGTACCGCGCTGATGCACGGTCATGGCAATCGAGGAGTTTTTCTTATTTCGCTTTCATCGTATCCACATTTTCGTATTTTTATTCAGAAGAAAGAAAATCGACCGCTTAGACGTCAACAAAAAATAGGCCAGTAACACCACAAAACAAAAAGTAATTCAAGACATTTTAAGAGAGAATGTGTGGTCTCCACCCAAGCTATGAAATATTAGGCTAACTCTTCAATCATTTACCACACATCCAGGAATTAAAATGGGCGCTAAATTGACATGGAGGTTGAATTTAAAGAGCGGATAAAGAGCGGTCAAGAAGGCATCCAATGGCTTAAAACGCACTATCCCCTCGGCTCAGGTAACTATAAGATCTAGACAGCAGTCATCGGACCAAAAGGGCTCTACGGTCTCTTGATACAGCGGAGAGATCTAAAATCAGTGACAGTTTTTCCCTGAGCTTGAGCTTTAACACTCCTAAAAGTTCCTGGACTACTGAAGCATTTTTAACGCTGAGATACGTCTAAGCTACACCGAAAGCCGATGAGTAGGCAGCGGCTCTATGTAGGTCCACTAAAAACACAACTAATATTTTAGTAGAGAGTCAGGCAGCCATTAATGGAGGAGTGGCTATATATTTAATCCGCTTTGTGTTCGTCAATGTACAAACGGGATGAATGAACTCTGCTATTTACTATATATCTCTATGAGGCAAGCTTGAGGCAGGATTTCATACTCGTCATTTTCTGTTATCTTCTTTTGCGCCACTTTCGTTTAAAATACGGATTTGTTTGCAAATTTAAGCGAATGTGTGGTTATCTGCGTTAAAGTGACTTTATGTTTTTAAAAAATATTTGAATGATACTTCAAATGTCTTAGTTATAATTGTAATTCAGTGTTCATTTGCGATAACCGCTTAAGTCTGCCATTTGTTTATGCTTGCGCGTGTTTGATTCAAATAAATTGTCATCTGATTATTGCAGGACAGCGCTGATTAAAAATAATTGGTCTTAAATGAATTCTTAAGTCATAACTGGCTAGAAACAGGCACAAAACCTAAGAGTTTTAATGATTTTTGCACACATATATCGCACACGATCTTCAAAAGTGACACAACTCAAAATTACACATTCGCCGGAAAATGCGAAAAAATATTTCGTTGCACATGCTAATCATATGGGCAAGGGAGACTTAACCTTAAGTTTTTTTCACCAAATTATAACAAAAATTTGCTTCAGCTTTTGCTTAAAGGTAAATAAAAGCTCTGTGTACATTTTTAGTGCATTATTTCAAAAATGCCAAATTTTGAGTTGTGTCACTTTTGGAGATTGTGTGCGATGTGTAAGTTCAACTGGCAACTAAATGTGCAAATGATAATTTTGATGCCAAAAAATACAGTTCTAATATTGGGGAATTTACATACTGTTACACTCGCAAAAATATTTGACCGCGAAAAAAAAAGTTTACGCATCCTTATTCACCGTCAAATATTTTAACGCGTCTTTCTTCGCTGAAGTTTTTTTTATATTCCTTTTTTCGCGGTCAACTTTTGAGCTCGCGCCTTTATTCGTGTTTAGTGACCCAATATAGTTATGAGTGGGCGGTATCACGAACATTTTCCAAAATTCCATAAAAATTTTACTTCTTTTCAAGGGATTGATACTATTGTGAGTAAATTAGCGTGTCGAAGATTCAAGCATTTCTGAAATTTACCGTTATATGAAGAGTGGCCGTAATTTTATCGAAGATTTCGTATTTCTGTAAATTACCGTTATATTTGATGTGGGCGTGGTCATTGTTCGATTTTAAAAATTTTCAGCCGTTGGTATGTTCTACCAAGAGCAACAACTGTGCCAAGTTCGGGAGAAATTGGTGCAGCGGTTCCCAAGATATACACAAGTAATCATGAGTGGGCTTGGCTACGCCCATTTTTCAAAAATTTATAATATTCTTTTTTTTCCCCATTTCAATACCATTTTCAATACCATCCCGTCCTACAGTCAAAAGAAGTACACATACGAAGTTTCGTTAAGATATCTAAATGTTTACTCGAGTTATCCTGTGCACAGACGGACGGACGGACAGACAGTCACCGCTTAATCGATTTCTCTTTTCATTCTGATCATTTATGTAAACATTTGTCCATATCTATCTCGATTCGTTTTGGCTGTTACAAACAACCGTTATGTGAACAAAGTTATAAAACCTTGGTGCCCAAGTGCGAGAAATGCAAAAAATTCAAAAAGTTGCGAATAATAAATATTAAACTACAAAGTAATGCATTTATTATTCAAACCCCCTGCTAAATCACTCTGTTTATAAATAAATTAAAATTAAATTTCAAACAATCTTTTATTGTCCAGGGCCAAAGATCGGCACGCGCATATAAGTTCACATTAGACTAAGTCGAAAAAAATGTTGTAAATGTCCATCTTTATATTTAGAGTTTATGTTGAGAAGATTTCGGCACCGTAAAAAATTTTTTTTTAACCCTGTTAAGTATTAAATATGAATTGAACTAGTTGTGTTAAGTTCGAAGATATGGCAACCTGCGTGTTGTAATACAAGTAGTTAAATAAGAAAATACGCATTGGCAACTCTAGAATAATAGAAAAACAAGGTGTGAAGGAGAAAGAAAGAAACGATTGAGTTTGAGTGTGTTGGGGATTTGCTTGAATTTGTGTTTGTATGGGATTATGATTTTCATTGCAGCATCCATGTATTGTGAGACTGGAGGGTTACGTCTTCGAAAGAAACAAACCCTTCTAAAAGCCGCGTATATATTTTTTCACATAAAGTATGTCATTTATTAGAGTCACATATTGCCTTCCGAAACCCTTTGGAGTTTCGAAGTTTTTTTCACGTGGTTGGTCAGTTGTACCCTCCTCTCTCTTTGTTTTTGTATTTTATTTGGATGTTTTTCCTAGCAGAAAAATTTAACAACTTGTTTTATAGTGCCAGTCTTTTGTTTCTCCTAACTCAACTACTTACATACATACTTTAAATTTAATCAAAAGTTTGTCTAAAGACAAAACAGTTATAACCAGGGGACGGATTTAATCGAAGTTGCCTTTCTTCTGCTAATAGATAGAGTATTTGCGATTCAAAATGACCATGATCTTTCCTTGATTCAAGTAAAAACATTTCGTGTCTCTTTTTTGCCTTTAAAAAAAAAATAAAAAATTAATAAGTATTAATAATAAAGTTACATATCTGAAAGTAGCGCTGTGAAAATTTAGTATTTAATTATAGCAGTGTAAGTAATGTTTAATTCAGGGAAGGAAAATAATAAATTTTTTTTTTTAATTTTAACTAAAAAATCAACAAGTTGTAATAACCGTCGTAAAACAATTTTAACTATACTCACGCATTTTTGTTCATACGTCCTAATGGAATTTAAAACGATTTTTATTTCTCGAGTTTAATAAATAAATATTAAAAATAAAAATTATTTTTGAGTTTTATTTTTTCACTTAAGAATAATGATTATACAAAAAACTCATAAGCTATAATAGTGTAATTTCCGACATATTCTTTCAGAGGTAGCGACAACCTAATAAAAGGAAGAAGTCTCACACTTTCCAAGTCAAAATTTCAGTAATTCTCTAGTTTAAGGTACAAATTGCAAAAAAAATATGTCAGGAGGGGTACCAATCGGAGAGTTTTTATCCCTGTATTAACAAGTCGGAGGTGGAGGGTTAATATTGACATTATTATGACAATTGCACGCTCAAAAATTCACTAAATCACTAATATTCTCTTTTATTATTTTTTTTTTAACATGTTTTTGAAACAAAAGATTGTTTATTTTGTTATTAATAAACAAGTAAACAATATTCCCGAACTGAAACGCGAAAATTCAAAATGGCGTATAGTGCTGCCACTTTAGTTATATTTCGTAATAATTGAATATTTCTTATATGGCGTCTGCAATGTTAAGTACTTTTCGGTTTTGTCATAAAAAGTTTTATACACACTTTAATTTTCTCTTATCTTATTTAAAAGCATGTATATATATTAATTTTTATAGATATATATATGTATTTATGTATATGACGTTTTCTTTTAAATCAGTAAGATTCATATTACCTTGAGCTATTTATATATAAAATTCTTATATATAAATATATCTTACTGATTTAAAAGAAAACCTCATATGTATATGTATGTACATACGCAAATCATCAAAAGCAAGAAGAATGAACCAAACAAGAATTTTATACGAGGAGTGCGCGGCGCGTTCGGACGCAGGGCGTGGAGCGCGAGCACAGCGCGGGGTTGCGAGCCAACGCGAACCGCCGCTTAAGAGACAACACTTACTTTTTGTACTGAAATAAGATAGTGTGGCTTTATTTCTCATATTTAAAATTTTTGCTTATGGCTGTGTATTTCACTTTCTCCATGGAAGTAAAGCCATATGGCCTTATTTCTCCATGTGAAGTGAAATAAAGGTACATGGCTTTATTTCCTATGGCTTTATTGCACGGCACCCTGCAGGATGCATATTGTTTTTCAGTGTTACTATGTACAACTACATATCGATAGCGCAGTGGAAGATCGGCCTATCTCGGCAGTTCGAAAACGCTCTATTTCAGAAAATTTTTCAAGAACGTCCTACTTCAGAATTTGATTGAAAACGTACTATCTCAGAATTGGGTTGAAGAACGCCCTATCCCAGGTTATTTTCAATGTATTTTCATTTTAGATAGGGCGTTTTTGAACCGAATTACCAAATTCAACCAAACCCTGAGATAGGTTGTTTTTCAATAAAATTCTGAAGTAGGGCGTTCTTGAAAAGTTTTCTGACATAGGGCGTTTACACAGAGCAAGGTTTCATGAGTTAAAATTCAAACAAATAAAGTATTCAAAGTTCCACTTAAACAAATTTCATAAATTTTTTGGTTTTTCTTAAAAAAAAATTTTTTATTTTTTTTTTTGCGATTTAATTTTCTTATGGCGTCGAAATCTCTCAACATATGCACTACAACAGCGTTTTTTTTTTGTAGTGACCGACCTGATCTAGAGCACAACTACTCATTCAGCAATTAAAAATATCATTATTAATCCGCAAGTAAAGCAAAATATTAATTTCTTAATTTTAGAAATATGCCTACACATCTAAAAAAAAGGGTGTGCCAAAACTCGGCACCTTACTTTTTAGGGTGCAAACTTATTCTTATTTGAAGTGAATGGATCACCAAATTACTCTGCCTTAATTAATTGTTTTTATTACAAACTATTCAATTAAATAATGCAATAAGGCTGAAGTAGAACTTTGAACATCAAATTTTTCATTATTTCCTGCTCGAAAAATATAGTGCGATATTTTGAGGCACCCATTATCCTTATCACGTATTCATAAGTATTTCCGAAAGGCGATCATGTCCCGTGACTAGTTGCGCGAGAGCAATTAATTTTAGCGCGCGATGCTTCCATGGCGCTAATCGCATACATAGTAACAGTTCTTTACAACCGCACGTAATAATTAACTTTAAAATTTAGGGCGTTAGAAAAAGTAATATATAATTGATTAGTGCAAAAAATAGGTGACGATGCTGTATGTACATATGTATGTATGTGCAAGCGCAAATTGATAAAGATGCTTTATAGTTAGCATCATAATTATTAACTTGTTTTCGCGCATACAAGTGTTTTCATAATTATTTATTTATTTCACTTACCGAATATTACCCTTGTTTGTGCCGTATTTGATGTGATTACACAAGACCTCGAACATGCCCCTTGTTGTGGTCACATGACGGCAATCGAACACCTAAATGAAAAACATAAAATAAAATTAAAAAGAAATTTGAATAATGGAGCATTTAAAAACTACTAAAAAGAAGAGATTCAGTAGCGCTTGCCTCGTGATGCTCAAGTTGAATTGATAACAGCTTCATTTTACATATACATACATATATGTATATACTGGTAGCAGAAATGATAGACGTGTCGTATTTTGACCAGTTTTGGCTATACATATTTCTTTCGTTCAGTGTAGTTGGTTATGCAACAAACACCATATAAATTCACATTTCATACATTGTACAAAAATTATAAAAACTCGACAAATTATCAGCACACTTTCAAGTGTGTTATTCAGAATTTCTAAAAAACACGATTCCGGGATGCAGTTTTAGTAAGATATAGTACAAGTACCTTAAAAATACCGTTGATTTTTAATAACTCTTTTTGCGATATAAATTGTGTTTTTAATTATATGAAGAAATAAATGCGACAAAAAAAAATTCGAATAAATCGCCGAAATTTGCTATAAAACTTCATACAAAAATTTTGGTGAGAATTTTTTGTATTTGTAAAATTTTTTTTACAAAATTTGAAATGTGGATTTATATGGCTTTTGTTGTAAGATAGACTAGGGAAAACGGAGCTGAATTTTTTCCTGGCTGCTTTTATCATTTTTATAATTAATCCTATTTTATCAATTCAATAAACTTAATATATGTATGCGTATATATTTACGCACCTTCAATTTGGACCACTGTATGCGTCCGATACAACGGGAAGCATTACGCCAGGCTGCCTTGGCACCAAAGGTTAACTCAGCTTCCGTTAATTGATATTCGCCAGTGGCTTCAATGCTCTGCTGTACCTCCTTCCAGCGGGCCTCGTGGCGGGGACTCGAAGCTCTGTGATGAAAAAAATAGATAAAATGGAGACAACTTAAAATGAATTTCACAGAAAATGTTTAAGTAATAGTTTGTAAATTTTTTGTTGTTAATTTGATAATCCCTACTGGCTGGTCTCATTCATCATTCATTGTTTTAAGTGGAAGAGCATTTCTTTCAAGAACTAACGTTCGCTTTTGGTAAGAATGTCTAAAACGGATTCAAGGTTTTTAGTCAGGCCTTTCCCCTTTTTAATGAAAAGCAAATTATTTAGTAAAATTTAATCCAGAGGTCAGAGTTTAATTTTGCTCCTTAATTTAGTGGAAAGGTATTTTTTTCTTGCTATAACATTAGACTGGGTCGCTAATTTTGCAATTACCCCCGCCTAGTTTAAAAATTTATTTTGAGATAACTTTGGGAGTCATAAAACCGTAAAAATAACTTTTTTATTTATGTCTCGATTTCAAAGTCGTTGAAAAGACATTTTTGAGTACTATACATCCCTTCGCTTACAATTTCAGTAATTCAGTATCTACTAAAACGAGCTTTTTGACGCTTAAAATCTTTATATTTATGAAAAAATAAATGAAAAATTTATGAAAAAGTTGGAAAGAAATTTCGTTTTGGGCTGTTTTAGGACTCGCCAAGAACAAAAATTTGTGTGACCTCCAAAATCCTTTCTGGGAAGGTTTTAAACTGGTGGGTTAATTGCAAACTTTTTCTTTTATGTGTGGACCTACTCTCTAATACCCAGTTTCTTATAAAGAAACACAGCTATGAGGTATTGATATGATTTTTTGCACAACAGTATATTAATCTAATTCTTACTCTGTGAGTACTTCAAAATTAACAATGTTAAAAAATTATTCTAAATATCTACTTACTTTTTCATTGAAGCAAAATATTGTTCCAAGAAGTCCTTCGCTTGTCCGAGTACTTCTTCTTGCTGGCGTGGCTGCAACGAGGCTGTGGAAAAGCCCATGACACTGCCCATACACTTCGATTGGGAACATGACAAGTTCTTAAACAAAAAATTATAATATTTACATTTTAAGGTAATAATTAAAAAAAAATGTATTGAGCTGTACAATGTAAACGAAAGTGGAAAAAATCTTCCCATAAAGAACTTGTTTGAGATGGAAAATTTGAAATTATATCAAGCAAATGTTAGCACTTCCTGCCAGTGCAATTGAAGTTTGAATGGCATGAAATAGTCCTTGGGCTACACAAAAATCCTGCTCTTGTGTCCGCCCAGACGCATCCTTGGCAAGTGCGCAGCCCAAGCACTGGATACGGTAACCCACCCATCTGAAGGCTTGGAACACGGAACAAAAAGAGAAAACTTTGACATATTCGGCTTCGAAGCCTGCAGTCTCTATCCACAAGGAGGTGCGGCTATAAGCCTTGTCTTGTAGCAGGCGGCTCGCTATTCAAATGTGACCTATTCGACATGAACTTTCTGATGACCGCCAAAGCAAAAGATGAATGTCCGGGCCCTGATATCACCGCCATCTTGTAAATACGTTAGACAGGGAAAGACCATGCCACAATGCGGTATTGGGATTTCAGATGCACAATAGCTTCCACATCGAAGAACGCAAATTTGATGTCGAGTTTCCATCCAATTCATTTGTAGAAATGTTTTGAGTGCAATGTTTCGTAACTCATTAAATTTTGGTATAACAAAGGGCTTGTTTCAAAATACTCTAAAATTGCGTTAAATTTTGGCACTATCAGCAAAAAATTTGACGAAAATAAACTTGATTTTTCAGCAACTTGAATCTTGCACTTTTTTACACTAAAATTTAATGAGCTACAAAACTGCATATTTAGATCAGATATGGATTAAACAATGTTTTTGGCCACCTAAATCGCCTAAATTTACCACTGTGGGCCGGCAGTTGACTGATTACACTGTGCGACAGTAAATTTTAAACACAAAAAAATTCATATATTTGCAAAACTATGGGAAAATTATAGTAAAATGTGTACTTAGTTTTTCTCTCTGACGTCAGAATTTTTTTGAAAGGACTTTGAAATTTAAAAAATATGATTATTTCGAAAACTTACTTAAAAAATTCGTTGTAATGTAGAATAACAATAAGGGTATCATATAAAAGAAAAAAATCTGTAGATATTTTTTATAATTTTGTCCCTAAATATCCTTGAAAATTTGCAAGATTTAGTTTTGAAAAAATTATTGTTTGAGGACTAATATACACACGACCACATCGTCAAATTTCGTCCTGCAAACTTTATTACCTTAAAAAATAAAATAAAGTTTATTAAAAGCGCATTTTCAATAACTATTTGTCCTTGTAAACCAAAAAACTTTATTGGTTTTAAGTTCTACAGAATTATCTCTTTCATTTGGTACCTATATTGTTATTCTACACTGCACTGATTTTTTAAAATAATTTTTTGAATTAATCATATCGTTAAAATTTCAAAGTCCCTTGAAAAAAAAACCTGACGTAAGAGTGAAAAACAAAAAACGCAGTTTCATTATATTTGGCCCATAGTCTCGTGAGTACTTATTACGATTCCTTCGTGTGTTTTGGATTTTTTTGCTTTTGTCGCACGGTGTTACATACAACTGGATTACCGATTAGAAGGGTGGCAATAAGAGCACAAGGAAAGCTTATGGCTCGATCGAACTGGCACTGATAACTTTTAAATGAGGCAGATTTGGGAATTGCATGGGTAATGAATAAGCAAAGGATGGCATACTTGTAGTCAGTTTTTGGGCAGATGCTGTTTTTTCGGCTCAGTGAATACGTGAGTACTGAGTGGAAAATCCAAGATGCAACTTTGCAGATTCACTCAAAGGCACTTCTTCCGCTGGCTAAGGACAAAGTATGTTTGTGTTTTATTTCATCAACACCATAGGAAGGGTTAATGGCAGGATTGAAAATAGTTGTACATGGAAATGGCTGGCACATTTTATATATATTTTTTCACTACTATGTGAGACAGTTTTGGAAAATTCTGTTTAAAATCTTCCTAAATCTCCAAAGGGTTTTGAGTGCCAATTTCATACGCCATTTTGTAGATGGTCGTTTAGCACGTTTCCACTAATAAAATATGTACCAATTATACCGAAATAGTAGCTCTAACTCATACTTGTTGCATAAAATGTATATTAAGGTGGTCAAAAATAAGTGAAGTCGAAATTTTAATGGTCTCACCCCCTAGAATTGTTCTATATCGAAATAATAGACACTTATTTTTTTATTTGCCAAAAATGCGCTCAAAGTTTTCCATGTATTTTATATGGGGAAAAAACACTTTTCGTTGAAATGGTATGGAGTTCTTGAAAATCGACATTTTTGATCGAAAAACTCTGGTTCTATTCAGGAGACTTCCGGTAACTACACGCAATTGTTTATTTATTTATTATTTATGACCCCATTGCATTTTCTGGAATTTTCTGGGTGTTTTGAGGTACCTATAAAATATAGGAGTCTCCTGAAGAGAAACAGAGCTTTCGATCGGAAAATTTGATTTTCAAGAATTCTATACAATTTCTGTTTTTTTCTAATATATAATACATTGAAAACTTTGAGCGCTTTGAGCGACTTCAAAATATTTTTTAATTTCATAAAAGTTCCCACTTTACCTTTTCACAAGTGAAGAAGTGTATAGTCAATAAGTAAATATGTACAGTGTACTTGTAAACACAAGTCGATGCATCGAAAAAAATACACCGATGTATGCAGGAAGGTTTAAAACATCGGTTTTATTCGATGTATCGATTAGCAAACTTCGATGTTTTCGATGGATCGATGTTTTTTGCATCCCTAAAGTGAAGCGCTCATACGAAAATAATAAAGAAAAAAAGTTTGCATTGTATTTTTTTTTATTTTCCAGCATTTAATTTTTTTTCACTGCCTTCGGTGCGGATTAGTTATTTTAATGCTCTTAACTCATTAAAATTTCACCGAAATAAAAAACCAACAAACTAGAAATTTAGCAGAAACGTAGAGCTATAAACTTTGTGTTGCTGCTTTGTGGCAAAAATCTACTAAAAGCGCAAATGAGAATAATAAAATATTTTGACCGAAAGAAAACTGCCAAACTTTCACCACAAGCCAACGAGACTCGAAGGGATACTTGTAACATTTTTTTGTAGCAATACGCTGAGGGCCATTAAGCCATAAACTATGGTTTGGCAGCAGGCAGGCAGCCATTCGAAGAGAAAGAATATCACATGGTTAGAGCCAGAGCAGAATAGCACAAGAACAAAAACAATGCGAGGGCAAATGTCACTTGTTGCTTAAGCAATTAAAGATGGAAAGGGCAGCAAGTAAAATTTAAAATTTTTATTTTATTATGCAAGTAAAAGTTACGCGTAACTGCGAGGTATTATGAATGACCAAAAGTTTATGAGTACTTAAGCCCCTCAAATGGTACACTAAAAGCTTGTAGATTTCGTTCTTTGTTTTCTCAACACCGTTACATACGTACCTCTTGTCCCTTCAGATGCAACTTGTCGTACACTTCTGGTTTGCCCTCGATATTCTTCAAGCGAATGGGACGCTGCATATGCGCCACAGGACAACCTCGGGAAGTTGAAGGACCTGCCTCATTCTTCTTGTGTTCATTCAATTCTTCAGTCAGTTGCATATATTGATTGAGATGATTTATTTGCTTTAGATGTTCACTGATATCCTCCAAGCGATTGGCGAGCACATCATCACCCTTATCGGCCTGTGACTCGGCCAATTCCAGAGCGAGCTCCTCATCGATCATCAAGCCGAGATTGTTCTGATCGTCCAAAGTAGTGTAAGGCATTTTTGCGTAGCGACGTGCACTAGGACTAAGCGCGAATTAAGCGATAAGGACTTATTTATTTTTTTGATATTTTAAATGTTAACTCTTGCGGTTTTTATCTCAGCTAAAACATTTAAGCATTAAGGATCACGATTTTTTATTTTTATGTTTTTTTATTAAGCACCAAGTCAGAAACTTTGATATTATATTTTTATTTTTATTTTTATTTGTTATTAAGCGCGTCAAGTCACTTAAGAAATTTTGATATTTTATTTAAAAATAATCACGAAGACGCAGCCTTCCTTTATTCACACGGAATTATTCTTTCATTAATTAAATNTTTATTTAAAAATAATCACGAAGACGCAGCCTTCCTTTATTCACACGGAAATATTCTTTCATTAGTTAAATTTTTTTCGCGCAGAAAATTTGCAAAGTCTCAAGGATACGCTGTGGCAGCGAATTCTTAACAACGGGGTATTCACTCAACGCGATTGCACCGTTATTCGCTTTCTTAGCTATGTATATTCTTTGTATATTCCGTATTTGGAAAATGTTGCCTTATTTGGCGACCAGCACCGACTGTACCCAAGCAGCGCGTGACTGGGCTTTATGTAAACTCACAAAACTGCCGAGCTGTTTGCCTCTTTCTGCTACATAGCTGCATCATCAGCACGGCGTCAATACATTGCGAAAAAACAGCAGCAGCAACCACAGCAGCCGTGGCAAAGCACACAACCGCTTTGAAAACAATGATAAGACCACAGGCCATTCTTTTACTGAGCGAGGTTTTGCTGACTGACTCTGTGGAGATCGCGTCATTCATGTCACATGGTTTCTAGTTGATGCACGTGACTGTATAAACGTTTGTTGGTATGGGTGCTAGCGGCAGATAAGGTATTGGGGAAAACACAAATACGAAGCGCGAGAAGGCGTTTGGTGGCGGTGCAGAGCCAATCAGCTTTGAAGTTCGAATTACAATAATATTCGTTATTGCCGAAGCAAAAAGACGAGCCGATGATAACAGAAAATATGTATGAAGATGCACAGAGCTTATAAAAATTATTACAAAATAAATAAAAATACCAAAACAAATTTTTGCACTACATAGAGAATTTGTGATTATTAGACCAATTGGAGCAAAGCTTGGGTTGTCCAAAAAATTAAAAACCATAATGCGAGTGGTGCCTCTCTTTCAAATCGAACCAAAGTCTGCGAATATTCAAACCGAAAACTCAGAGAAAAGTATCTGTCTTTTGAAAGCGGTACCTGAACCTAACTATGTTTTGTTTTTCATAAGAAAGGTAATAAAATAACATATTTATTTGTTTATATGAACGCACCGTTGGGTTCAGCATCGGTCCATTACCTTTGTGATACCACTGTGCGAAGATTGAAGTTTCCGCAGCCTTGAAAAAGATGAGCAGCTTAAGAAGTAGTATTGAAATGATTTTACCACGTCACCGTCGAAGCAGCTGCCGCAGATTGAACTATATCCGTCAATATCCCCAGAAAAAACTTGAAGTTTCCCATATCCTCGCCCAGCGCTTGCGGAACTGGAATGAGATCCATCTGTGTTGTGCTTATAGTTAAATGTGCCGTTCCTGACAAACTTCTCCGCTACGCAGTTGTTAGAAATATTGCTAAGGCTTAACACCCATTCAAATCTTTTGCTACCTTTTTATTGGCGCTGTAATCGCCTAAGCGATTCTGGCGGAGTACAACAAAGCGCGTTAAATTCCAAGTAAGGTCAAATCCTTTTAGAACTGGAGCGTTTCTGTCCATACGTACGACATGACCAAGTCAACGGATCCCCCGTACTTTAATCCGCCGAACTATGTCTAAATATATCATTGTAAAACTCACATAGCTCATCGCTCCAGCGCCTGTGGTATTCGCCACCAACTCGCAAAGGGGCCTAAATCCTACTCTCGAACACTTCAATGGCTGCTTCATCATGCACTAGTGCCATACACCAGTACGGGCATGATGAGTGACTTATAAATTGTGATTTTTGTACGACGAGAGAGGACATTACTTCTCAATTGCCTACTCAGTCCAAAGTAGCACTTGTTGGCAAGAGTGATTCTCCGTTGGATTTCAAAAATTTTACCCGAGTGATTAAGTTCTGCGACTCGTATTATCTTTTCCCAATTCTGACGGAGCTGGTGGTATGGCTCAACGCGATTTTCCGCAGCAATTTAAGTCTGCCTTGAATTTATTCAGACTGGGTTGAAAGATAGGCAAGGTTCCGATTGTCACTCGGCAATCAGAGCAGATGTTTACTTCACGTTCCGGCACCGTAGAATCGGTCGGCCATTGCTGCCATTGCTTTGAAAACACTATACGACTAAATTTGAAGGTGGGTGGGGGCTTCCTACAAAACTCCCCTTCACCGATCCTTGCGTCCAGCTTCGACCCGTCCATGTAGAAGTTCACCGGTGTCTACTTCCAACTACGACCTCCAGCCGATAGAGCAGCAGAGTGCCACTAATGCCTCATTCGCTGTCTTCGCTGTGTTGGACTTCCACCAGAGTTAAGGTCAAGTACTTGACTCAATCAGAAAGCACAAATAGCAAGACTCCAATTGCAGGAACAGTTGCGTGTGGTATCCTAGACAAGATGGATTCCTTTTTGCTGTTCGAAGACCACTTAGTCACTGGGTTTAAATTATTCGGCATCCTCTGCTCTTCAACCCCTCTAGCAAGCAGGTCTTCTACGACGCAATCTAAATAAGGTATTAAAAACGCAACCCAGTTTACCTTATGCTTTTCATTTAGTGCGAGTACATAACTAATGAATGAGACGAACTTGGGGAATAAAACCAAACCAATAACTCATTTCCTAGCTACTTATTCACTGAAATATTTTTTATTAAATAAAGAATTAATAAAAACTGGGAATTTCCCATTGAAAAATCACCAAGTGATTAGGCATTCCAATTACACATTTATACATGTACATACATATGTACGGGTAGTGAAATCACCTTCCGGCATCCCCAGAATTGTGTCATCGTCTCGTTTTAAATATCAACACGCGTATGTACATACATAAATAAGTAGATATCTTCAAGTAAATGTAGCACTTGCAGTTATTGTTACGAATTCTTACTAATGCACATTTGTAGATACATAGTTATAGGCTTCTGTTTTCAAGCGAATATAAAAGTATACTTTTTTTACATCTGACTCATAATTTCCTTTGAATAGACTGTGCTGCTATGTTTTTGAAGGAAAAACAATTTCTTGACTCTGCCTCGTTACCCGAGGTGATGGTTACTTTAATGGCAATTAAAAAAAAAATTAAATTTTGAAATTTTCGTGGATGTCATTATTTGGTACGCAAAAAAAAAATAAAGCGATGGCCCATACAAAGTTTAGATGTTGATATTTTAAGAACTCCCCTACTGTTTACCGCAAACACAACAAGTTCTCAAGTGACCAAGTTGTTTACAAACATTCCTAAATTCTGCAAATGAATTTTATTTACACGCATACATAGGTTATTAGGATTAGGTATTTTTCAACAATGCAATCGTATTCACTACAGAAGCCCTCAAAATAACGAAATAAAGCGTACTGACAGATCTCTTCCGAAAAGCTTCTACGAAATTTCGTAATCCGATTCCTAAAAGTAAACTGAGTGGTTAATGCAGTAATAGTATATGAATGCTTCACTTGCCAAAGAGATTAACTCGACTAAAAAAAAGTTGAGAGTTGCGAGCAAATAATGTAAAATTTTTTCTTTTTAATTATCTTTATAATATAAACTGTTATTACAAATAGTATATATTATTATATCTTTAATATAAAGAGGCCATCTAAAAACTGTATTTACTCGACAAGTACTACTTATATCAATGTGTGTCTTAAATTTGTATATACAAAAATAAAAATTTATAATATTATGTTAAAATGAATGTGGTTAAGTATTAAACTAGTTAATGAAATTACTAGGGCTGTGCGATTATTCGATTACTCGAGCAAGTTGGTTAATCAGTTATTCGGTTAATCAATTACTCGAGTAATCAAGATTTTGATTACTCAAAACGATGATTAATCGAGTTACTAGAAATATGATTACTCAAAAAAATTAATTTTGCTCGTTAAAAGAGTTTGCTTTGGAAAAGTCTTATTTTCTTTCTATATTCTGTATATGAAAAAAATATGTATGTATGTATGTATCTCTTTTTAATTTTTGAAAACAGAAACGTTTTTTTTTTTCAAAGTATCAAGGAACTTCAACTGCTTTATATGTATGTATGTAAAGAGTACTTTGAAATGTTGATTACTCATTTTATTCACAATGTTGATTAATCATAAAGCAAATTACTCAAATATTTTTGTTTTTGGTTAATCAAAATCTTGATTACTCGAGTAACTGAACTTTTGAGTAATCATAATTTCCAATTAATCGAATAATTGAGTTATTTACTTTATGGTTAATTAAAACTTTGAATAATCAATTAATCGCACAGCCCTAGAAATTACACATCTAATTAATTCAATCAAATACATATCGCTAGTTTAGAGTGAAAAGATGCTAAATCCACTTTTTATGAAAACTCGTTTTTTAATACAGGGGCTAGAGAAATCTAAAAATGCATTGTTTCAAAAACGATAAAGGCACTTGTTTTATTTATTCTTATTTAAATTCAATGAAAGGAAAATTTGCTAAATCCATAAGAAGCACCGAAAATCCGATAAGGCCAAAATAGTACGAAATCCTTTAATAAAGATCGAATCCCTCTAATTTGTATGGCATTTTGCTTTTCTTAGAACGGGCAAATGTTGTTTGCAAGTTTCTTTCCTCTCCTGTAAAATTTTTTAAAAGGGATTTAGCAACTTTGCTACAAGTGATCCTTTATTTTCAAAATAGTTTCGTGATTTAGTCAAAAATTGTGAAATAAATATTTGAAAAATTAAATAATGCGGAATTATTAAGATTATATTTTTTTTATAATATTACAAAATCTAAAATTTTGGCTTTTTGCTGTGCTAAGTTTGGAAGAAATTGGTGCAGCTGTTACCAAGATATACACATGTTACCATAAGTGGGCGTGACTGCGCCCATTTTCGAAAAATTTATAAAATTCTTATTTTTCGTCTAAAACTTATTGTAAATATCAATTTTGAGTGAATAATCTTCAGTAGTGACTAAAATATCGCAGTTTTCGTATTTCTGAAAATTACCGTTATATGAGAGGTAGGCGTGGTTATTGCCCATTTTCAATACCATCCGTCCTACGCCCGAAAGAAATGCGCATACCGAGTTTCGTTAAGATATTTCAATTTTTACTCGAGGTATCGTGTGCACAGACGGTCGGATGGACGGACGGAGTCGACGCTTAATTGCTTTCTCAAATCATAGTCATCTTTTACTCCATGTAAAATTTTTCACTCGTTCGTTTTGGCGAGAAGAACATTTTCACCGTTAATTTTAGCGTTTTGAAATATCTAAAATTAAAAAAAAAATTAAAAATTTCAAAAATTACAAAATATATGTAGCTGCGACAGATATTCTGGTAAACTCTTGAAACTTCACAGATATTTATGTATGTTGTATTTGATGCCAACGTCCATTGCCTTTAATATGAATATTCTATTTGAAAACTTCGCAAAAAAAACTTAAAATTTTTTCGAGAGACAATGAACAATTTCGGTACTTTTTTGCCTAAATCGACGTTTTAAAGCTAAAATTGCTCAAATACTTGATTTATTTTTTATTGTACTTGTTTCTGGAACTCTATTGATTGAAATAA